AAAAAAGTTTGTTATTTACATAAGAATATATGTTCATCCCGTGAAAGTCCATGTATGGTCCACTGGGACCATTTTGCTTTTGTTCACTGTCAGACTCCCAGGTCCAAGCACAGAACCTGACACAGACAGACACACAGTCGACATCTTTGGAGAAATGCTGAACAAATGAACTGCTGGTGAACATCAGGCCAGGTCTAAATCCACAGTCCTCACTGGATGTCCCTGGATTCTTCCCTGCTTTAGGCCATGCTCAAGACACTGAGCATTTCTCCCCATTAGATCAGGCAGGGTGTTGCATATCTAGGCATCTTTCTTCCTTCCCCGGAATATCTAACCTGTGCCTTGACCTTTATAGATGCTTGAAAGTGTTGGGGGGAGGTAGGGATCTGGTCTAGCACTTTCTGTGAAGTACAGGCCGGCCTTGAATTCACAGAAACACTGTGCCTGAGCCTTGTGAGTGCGGGGATTAAGGATTTGAACCAACATGCTGGAGTCTCTCTACAAAGCTTTTTTGTTTGTTTGTTTGTTTGATTGTTTGTTTGTTTGGGTTTCGGTTTTTTGTTTTGTTTTGTTTTTCAAGATGGGGTATCTCTGTGTAGCCCTAGTCATCCTAGAACTTGTTTTGTAGACCAGGCTGGCCTCAAACTCAGAAAGCCGCCTGCTTCTGCCTCCCAAGTGCTGGGATTAAAGGTGTGCAACACCACTGCCTGGCTATAACACATTTTTTAATAGAGGTGCCAAAGGAAGGCCGTCACTGCTGGTATATCTTACCATTTCCTGCACCCATGTGGTTAAATAATGTCTTCACATTCCTGGAGCAGCAGGATAGGGTTGGAGGGAAAGAAATCAAAAGGAGGCTGAGATAAGGACTAGATGAAGGAAGAGTTCATGTGAAAGGGGAAACATGACAAAGGAGAGGGAAAGGAAGCAGTAAGAGATAGCATTGTAAGCTTCTGATCAACGAAACCTTATTGATTGGAAGTGCTAGCTTTACAAATATTTTATGAATGAAAATGCCATCATGAAACACAGTACTTTATATACTAACAAAAAAAAAAGCTGATTTTTTTTTTTTTGAAAGAGAAAAAGAATTTCAGAGGAGAAACTCATACTTAAAAAAAAAATAGTGGCCGGGCGGTGGTGGCGCACGCCTTTAATCCCAGCACTCGGGAGGCAGAGCCAAGCAGATCTCTGTGAGTTCGAGGCCAGCCTGGGCTACCAAGTGAGTCCCAGGAAAGGAGCAAAGCTACACAGAGAAACCCTGTCTCGAAAAACAAAAACAAAAAATAGTGAAAAAGAAATCCCTCCACTATAACTGCACTTGGTGACTTCTACTATCTCAGCTTCTTAATAAAAGTTACTGGGTACAATAGTAAGTTTGTCTTTATACAGTGATCAGACCCCTGGAGTCTTAAGCAAGTGCTCTCTTTACCACGGAGCAACCTTCCCAACCTAAGTGTTCGATCCAATGCATCGTCACATTTTAAGTCCTGAGCCCTAAAGCACACCTGGAGGAATCAGAAAGGACAGTGATGGAGTCCCTAATACACAAATGGCCCTACAATGACCAATCTATCTAGCTGGTACCAAAGAAGGATGTGTCAGTAAACCCAAGAGTCTCAAAGCCTACAATCAACCCAGAACCCTCCCACTCTTTGGAGCCAAGTATGTCTTTTAGTCAGCTGCTCTCAGAATGTGCCTGAAGGATTTTTTTTCTCTCTCCTGAATGGCTCTGCTACTTTTTATCAATTCTTTTCCCACCCCATCTGACACAAAGCAGAAGTGAATTTCTAATCGATGTACCAATATTCAGCTGAGGTGGCGAGCAAAGGAAGCCAGAGCTTCTTAAAAGAACAGAGCGCTCCACTGACAGTCTGGGAAACATGCGCCTCTTCTACAATGAAAAGGATTCATTTGATTGGTGGGAAGGAAGGGGTTAAATGGCATTCATTTCCTGTAAATAGTTTGCAGGGAGTGAACCATTCAAAGCTTCTTTCCCCACGAACTCAACCGATGCCTTTGGGGCATGTGAGCTATTAAAGGGAAGACAAGCTTGTGGTGTAAAGTGAATGGCTGAACATGGATCAGAAAGGTGGGCTCCATCGCCCACTCTGCAAAATCAATGTGAACCAGAGAAATCAAATTACTACTCTGGACCTCAGTTTCCTAAACTCCACTAATTTCTGAGGATACTTCCAATCTTTATTTTTCAAGAGGTAAATTTGAGGGGCTAAAGCTCTCCTTAATTCTGTGGTTTATCCTACTGTGCTCCAGCATTAACATGTCTTCTTAGGTTAGGCGTGTGAGTGATCGAGGACTCTGCTTCCAGGGAATCTACTGCTCATAACTTGATTTGTGGTCTTGGAGTCTGCCCTTCTATAACATCTCCCTATTGACCTTAGTCTAGGCACTAGAAACATTCAAACAAGAGCCTTACCAGGTCACATGACAGATGTTTAACTATTTAAAGACACCAACCTGGTTTCCACCGTCTAAGCTAAGCTCTTCTTCCTTGTATTCTATGTAAATAATTTCTGGGCATTCTGACATCTTTTATCCCTATGCTGCCCGCTCCTTGGTTGATCAATACCAGTCTTAAAATACAGTCCTCAGATCTAAACTTGTATCCTCGCTGTGATCTCAGCAGACAGCCTGAAGAGTATCCAGAAAAACTCTTAGAGGAAAACCGCAACTCAGGCTCCTTCCCTGTGGTAAGCTACAACTGTAGGAACCCTATCATAATAAAGATGATGGAATCAAGATGTAAACTGACAAGCCTGGAGAGCGATGAACTATAAACTCTGAACCACAGTCACTGCTCTTGTCTCCCAAACTAGCCCAGTGCTCCTGATAATCAAGGAAAATACCATACTTGATACTTATCACTAGAGATGTTGACCATATAAAGAGCTTTAAGTGGTAAGTATAGAATCAGTACCTATGGAACGGAAACTTTAGACCATTTTTATCATGCTTTTCCAGCTATTGGGGAGGGAGGCAACAATAACAGCCAGCACACTGTAAGTGGAGTTTTCCTGTCCAGACTACCTGCTCCCAAACAACCAACATAGAGGCTTAATATGATTTATAAATGCTCGGCTGATAGCTCAGGCTTGTTAGCTAACTCCTACACTTAAATGAACCCATAATTCTTATCTATGTTTAGCCACGTGGCTTGGTACCTTTTCTCAGTATGGCATTCTCATCTTGCTTCTCTGCATTTGCTGGTGACTCTCTGACTCCGCCCTTCCTCTTCCCAGAATTCTCCTAGTCTGGCTCTTGTGCTCATTCTCTTCCTGCCCAGCTATTGGCCAATCAGCTTTTTATTAGCCAATGAGAGTAATATATATTCATAACGTACAAACAAGATTATTCTACAGCAGCACACGCAATAGTAACAGCACCTGCAGTGGAATGTAGCGTTCAGGAACTTACACACACACACACACACACACACACACACACACACACACACACACACACCCAAGCAAGAGGTTCTAAAGATACCATAGAATACAGTAACACCACATGCCATCTGACCAACTCAAACACGTGTGAAATGAAAGGACAACCGAAATACTCGGGAACATTCCACTCTTATATAAAACGTGCTCACAGACCTGGCCTGAGCATAGTACGTTGTACCACATCAAAACCCAAGAGCCAATCTCCCTCTGGCACAACACACCTTCTTACTAAACCAACATCTACATTCAAGAATAAAAATTCACTAGTATTAGGCTAGCCTCAGTCTAAAAATGTGATATCATTTTCTCGGGTTCCAAAATTTTCTTTCGTACGAATAAAATAAATGAAGACATAAGGCCAAGTGAAGGAAAATAGCAGAACCCAGCGTGAGCATTTATCTCAAACAGCGTTTTATGTGATGAACAGTTGGATTTGCAAAGAAAAAGTCCTTTTTCACAAAGGAAATTCCCGGGGTTTGCTCAGTAATTTTAAATTTCCATAATGGAAACTCATTTTGAATGTTAAGTTAGGCAGGAAAAAAAAAACACCCTATTTTTAACTGTGGTTATGAAATATGTTACAAAGTAATAGAAGTATTAGGCTGGCTAATAAGTACTTCAAAACCCAGGCGAACAAGTCTTCCTTGAGAAGACAATGAAAAAAAAAAAAAAGAATGAAATAACTTAAACCCAAGACAGCTGCATGGCACATACACTAACTCACTGCAATACAGCACTCTTCTGGCATTATTATTCTATATTCCTGGAAAGCAAATCAATTACAGTTGTCCAAACTACCAGAAGAGCTCGAAAGTCTATCCTTTCCTTTCCTCCATAAATGGCGTTGTGATTACAAATAATGAATTATGTGGAAGGGCTTCATTGCAGGAGAAAATCATGCGATATAAATTTCAAATTCCCACAGCGTAGCCTTCTCTTCTAACCGCCCCACTAATACAATAGACACCACAAGCTGCCAAAAAAAGAATCCGTTAGCAGGTTTAAAAAAAAAAATGTTAAATACAACAGGGCAGATTTGTAAGGGTGAAAAACTCAGCCAGCAATTACCTCGGAAGCGATAGGGATATTTTTGCCACATTAGCGTAAGAGATCCCATTTCCCCCACTGAACACCTCTTAGCACATCCTGAACGAGCGGGTTAGCAAATCCCAATAATCCCATATTTCAAGAGGTAGCACAGCAGGTAAAAACTAAAGGGACTCGCAAAATAAACATTTACAAGACTGAACCATTCTTGAACTCTTATTAAAGCCAAAAGAACAATTCTTGGTGCATTTCAACTCTCTCTCTCTCTCTCTCTCTCTCTCTCTCTCTCTCACACACACACACACACACACACACACACACACACACACACACACACACACACACACACGGAATGGGCGACTGACTTCCGATGATCTGATAATATGCGATGTGTCCAGTAGCCCAACAGCTTTTGTTTTATTTTTATTTTTTTTTTTAATTGCATCCTCCAACCACAAGAGATCATAGAGGCGAAGCCTATTTGACTTTATACACACACACCAAGTTGGTCACCGCGGGCCATATAACTTCCAAGGAGCTGGTGGGTAAAGAGATGGGTTTTTTTCTGGGGGTGGGGTGGGAGGTAATACCGCTGTGCACGCCTCCCTCTACAGGATGAATTTCCCCAGGAAGAAGCCAATGAAGACTGCTCCAATCACCAGCAGAACAACAGGAAGAGGCGCGGTGCGACTTGGCTTCAAGGACGTGGAGGAGTCGAGCCTGGGCTTGTTGAGAGGCGCTGGCTTTCTGAGTCTCAAGCCGTCATCCTGTTTGTCACTCTCTCTCGGCATTTCAAACACACACCTCAGTTTCGAATCCATCAGTTCACCGGGGTCCGCCTTCTTCCACACGGCCTGCAGATTCGAAGTGTCCGGGGGAGCGAACACTGTCTGCACCATGAACTTGTGCTTGGCCTCCCGGCTGGGGTCGTAGCTGAAGGGCTGCAGCATGGCGGCGACAGTCACGGTGCAGCCCGGCTCGACCACGCCGCTGCTGGGACGCACGCAGTAGCGGCGAGGGCTGGTGCTCTTCACCTTGAAGCACACTTTCCTCGCCGTCGGGTTGCGCAGTTTAAGATGCGTGGTGACTACGGTGGTGAAGGGGCCTCGGAACTTGAGCTCTGTTGGCGGGTCGAGGACCAGGATCTGCTGGGGCTTCGTGGGGGCGCGGGAGGCGGACGCCATGGGGATGGGAGCGGGCGGTGTGGGCGGTTCGCGACCCCAGGTCTCCACCGTCACAACCGCCTTGGCCACGCCCGTCCCCATCCTGGGCATCCCCGGTCCCTGGATTTTACATGGCTGGGTGGGGAATGTGTGATGATAGGAGATTTGTTAAAACCATGCTTCGGAGATAATCATAGGTTATTGACCTGGAACAGCCAAAGAACTGTAACGTAACATCCCTTAAAATAGTTATCTACCTTGCCAGGCGGTGGTGGCACACGCCTCTAATCCCAGCACTAGGGAGGCAGAGGCAGGCCGATCTCTGTGAGTTCGAGGCCAGTCTGGTCTACAGAGCGAGTTCCAGAACAGGCTCCAAAACTACACAGAGAAACCCTGTCTCGAAAAACCAAAAAAAGTTTAAGCTGAGCCCAACACCTTGGCCAAAGGAGGGCCCGTGTGTATTAAACATGGGGTAAGTGAAGCGCATCTGAAATCTACTTTCCCACCCTCCCCAAGTCTACACACAGTGATGATAATGCCCTTTCTAAAAATTTTTCCTGAACATTTAAAAAAAAATGTGGGAAAATACACACTGCATTAAAAAATTAACAATCCTCACCATTTTTAGGTGTATGATTTAGTGGCGATAAGTAAATTTACCCTCCTTTCCATTATTGTAGGGGCACCTTCACCCTAGACCCCTGTACTAGTTAGATTTTGTCAACAACTTGACATAACCTAGAGTCAGCTGGGAAGAGCCTCAAAGGATTGGCCTGTGATTCCAACTGTGAGAGGACCCATCCCCCAGGCCTGTGAGCCTGGGCTGTATAAGAAATCTAGCTAAGGGTGGGGAGGGGCAGTATTCATCCAATGCCACCTTCCCAGAGTTCCTGTCCCCACTTTCCTTTATAATGGACACAAGACCTGGAAGTGTAAGCTAAAATAAATCCTGTCTCCCCTAAATGGCTTCTGGTCATGGTGTTTATTCCAGCAACAGAAAGAATCCAGTCTAAAGAGAAGCCTAAGGGCAGTATTAATTTTCTTAGAAGTTTATATACATCTTCCACTTGGCGCACGCCTTTAATCCCAGCACTCGGGAGGCAGAGCCAGGCGGATCTCTGTGAGTTCGAGGCCAGCCTGGACTACCAAGTGAGTTCCAGGAAAGGCGCAAAGCTACACAGAGAAACCCTGTCTCGAAAAAAAAAAAAAAAAAAAAAAAAAAGACTTTCCTCTCAAGAGGTGTGGCATTTACACTAAAGGGATATATCTGTTTTCAGACCGGAGAGACATCGAACAGAGACCTTGAGAAGTCCTTTCTCTCTCGCTTCCCTCTGCCCTCCTAGGGGTGTGATGGGAGAAGCAGGAGACAGAATGGCCACTTTGCTGAGTGTCATTTACACAGCATTTCTGCCAGTCCCTTCCAGCCTTGATGTCTTCATCTCTGAAGCAGATACTAAAAATGCAGATGTCGGTGTTGTTCGAGTTAAGTGAAGTCTTTACAGTACACACTCAAGTTTGTCCATAGTCATGTGCAGTTCTGGCCCTCATTATTACCATTAGGCTACAGTCTCCTAGATAAGGCCCGCCTCTTGTCTACAGATAAGAGATACCCAGTCTGGAGCAGCTGCAGACACTGAGCAAATAATAGTTAAAGGAACAGAGGGACGAGATCCCACCATCCTACTACAAGATGTTTTTGTTCATTTGTCGTGCTGGGCATCAAACCCAGGACTTTACACATATTTACACAAGTGCTCTACCGCTGAGCCCCCGCCCAGGTGAAGGGTCTTAATGTATTCAGGAGGAGATGCAAAAGCAAAGAGAAAACAAAGGCCCGTCTGTGTGGCCTGCCACACTGGGCCCAGAGGGTGGAATATTCTCACTGGCACATGACCATCGCTCAGGTTCTGCCATTCACAAAGTGAACAGTGCAGCAGAGTGCATCAAACCCTGGAAAACACCACGATTTCACACAAAATCCCAGTTGTGGTTTAAGGAAGTCACAAGAAACGTTCAAGAGTGTGATGGTCAGCGTGGTAGCTTGGAGGGGAAGAAGGCAGGGTTTGGATTCCACTCAAAGGTGAGACTGTGCCTTACGAAAGTCAGAGCTGGCTGGCAATGGATTCATTTTTGCCCTGTGTCCTCCAGTTAAGGTAGATGAAAAACATGTCTCCCTTGAGTTTTCCCAGCCTGTGTCACACACGCTACCACCCCCCGCCCCCCACCCCCAGTCAGCCTCAGCCTCATCCCACCTATGTCCAATCCCTTCCTCTCGTGGCAAGGTCTGCAAAGCTGGGAAGTACAGCTCTGTGTTCTGGGTCACTAGGTCAAGTCTAAGGCTAGAGCCACGGGACTTCCTTCTCCCAGGGTAAACAGTGGGGCAGGAGGCTTCCAGGCAGCACTGGCAGCCAGTTCCTGCCAAACCAGGAGCGAGGCATTGGGGTTCAGCCAAGAGGAACTGCCGTACAAACTGACGACTCTAACTGGAGCAAAGAGAAGGGGAGCACAACACAGAGAGCAGTACAGCCAGGCGTGGTGCCGCAGGCCTGTAAATCCCAGCTCTGGGGAGCTAAGGCAGGAGACTTTGGAGTTCAAGGTCAGCCTCAGCTACATAGCTAGTTTTGAGTCCAGCCTAGGCTACTAAAGATCCTGTCTCAAAACAAGAACAAAACTTGAAACAATAACCAAAAGAGGAGGAAAAGGAGGAGGAGGACGAGCAGGAGGAGGAGGAGGAGGAGGAGGCATGTCCAGAAGTACCATTTCCGCTTTTTGAAATTGCTACATCTTCAATTGCTACATCATTCTCCTAATGTGCTCTTCCTTGCTTGTCTCTCACCTCTCCTAAATACTGGGGCTCCCCATGCCTCCAGTCTAGAGTACGTATGTCCATTCAAAAGCCCATGGCACAGCCACAAGATTATTCATCCTGACTTCTATTATCTGAAAATGTGTGACCTTGTAACAGCTTCTGTATCGTCGTCACAAGTTCTGAATCCCCTCAGGCCACTCAGAAGGGACCCGAAAACAGTTGGGGATCAAGCAAAGCTTCGGCTGTGGAGGTCACAGGCTGGGCTCTTCGTCACTCTCCTGTGCAAGGGAGGAGTGAGGAGCTGAAACAGCGATTGTTATGGGTAGCACGCATTCTCTTCCTAATAGGCATGAGCTCATAGCACAGGTTTAATAATACAGTGATTGGGAAACTTTGCTTGTTAAGGCTTTGGTTTCTAGTTGATAGAACTCCCACTATTATCAAAAAAAAAAGAGAGAGAGAGAAATGTACCATCTACAGGAGATGAAAGTTTCAAGGGTGAATAATTTGGGCCAATAATTCAGATCAAATGATGTTAGGGCTTAATCCATTTCTTTCTTGCTAAGTACTCATCGAATTTCCCTTACGTTGGCTCTGTTCTCAGAAAACTAGTGGACTCCTGTCTCCCCAGGAAAATTAAAGAAAATGTAGAGACATTTTTCTCTCCAGAAAAGGAGAGCCTTTTGCCCCATAAAGCTTTATTATAGTATAATTGACAAATAAAAAATGTATGCATTATGGCATGGAATGTTTTGATGTATGTATACATTGTTAAGTTATTAAGTCAGACTAATCAACTCACCACATCACAAACTTACAATTTTGTGATTTTTTTTTTAAATTTTTGTTGAGATGGAGTCTTGCTATGTAACTCAGGCTAGCCTTGAACTCATGATCCTTACAGGTGTGCACGACTACACCCAGCTTGCAATGACTTTAGATTTTAAGTTAAATATAGTCCCACTTGTCTATTTCTACTTTTTCTGCCCTTGCTTTTCAGTCATGCTGATAAAACACTGTCCAGGTCAATCAATGCCAAGAAGACTTACCCCTGTATTTTAATAATTTTACAATTTCCAGCCTCACAGTTTAGAGACACATTTAATCTGTTCAAGCTGACTTTTGCACATGAGGTGGATGTCCAGTTTCACTCTTATACATGTGAATAGCTACTTTCCCAATACCATTTATAAGATGACCTTTTCTCCTTTTTTATCTTTAATTCTGTGTTCATCTGTATGGGTTATGTGGACGTGGGTGCAGTGCCTTCCAAAAAAGCAGAGGTGTTTGGTACCTCTGGAGTTAGTTACAGGCTACTGAGAACCACCCAGTGTGACTGCTGGGAACTGAACTCATGTCCTCTGCAAGAACAATGCATGTTCTTAACTGCTAAGCTGTTGCTGGATCCTAAAGGCTTCCTCAAGGGAGGGTGAGGAGGCAAGTCATCAATGACACAGACACTGGGAGTCAGTTGAAGGCAAACAGAAGACTCATTCAATAATGGGGAAGGCCTTATATACCCTCCTCCCAGCACCAAGCTGTGTCCCAATCTGGTGGCACTGCGTGGTCATCCCTCATTGGCTGGGCACTATCAGGAACTCCAACACCGCCTGTTGCTAGGCCCTCAGGCAGACTCCAGGTTGGCTCATAAGGAAGTACATTATGTGCATGCCTTGTCAACTGGTTTGAGCCAATTTCCTCGACCCTATGGGCCTGTCCTACTACACTAAGCCATATCTCCAGCCCCCTGGAGACCACCCTTTCTTCACTGTGTGTCACTGACACCTCTGACACATCCGTTAAAGACCTGCTGATGGTAAATTCACAAGTTTATTTCCCAGCTCTCTATTCTGCTCCATTGGTCTGTATTTGTAATTTTATGCTGGACAACACTGCTTTGCTTGCTTCATAGTGGATCTTTAAATTAGGCAGTGAGGTACCTTACTTTCTTCTTTTGTTCACGTTTGTCTTAGATATTCAGGGTCTTTTGGATTCTCTATAAATTTTAGGATCATTTCCTATTTCTGTGGAAAACTTTGAAATGTTGTGGGGGTTGCACTAATTATCTAGATAGCTTTGAGTTGTGTAGGCATTTTTAGTAATATTAACTGTCTCCATCCATAAATGTGCTGTACTATCCCATTTGTGTTTTGGGTTTATTTCATCACAGTTTTATGGTGTGGGTTTATAGATTATTTGCCTTCTTGGTTGA